TCCGCCTCCCGGGTTCAGGCAATTCTCCTGCCCCAGCCTCCTCAGTAGCTGGGATTACAGGCACGCGCCGCCATGCCCAGCTAATTTTTTTGTATTTTTAGTAGAGACGGGGTTTCAACGTGTTGACCAGGATGGTCTCGATCTCTTGACCTCGTGATCCACCCACCTCGGCCTCCCAAAGTGCTGGGATTACAGGCTTGAGCCACCGCGCCCGGCCCCTCTAACCATCTTAATCCAAACTATCGTCTCTACCTTAGACTGTTGCAATAGCCTCCTAACTGATCTCTCTGATTCTGCTTTTACCTAAAGCCTATTTCCCACAAAGCAGCCAGAAACACCTTTTTTTTTCCTCACTGCAACCTCTGCCTCCTGGGTTCAAGTGATTCTCTTGCCTCAGCCTCCCAAGTAGGTGGGATTACAAGTGCGCATCATCACACCTGGCTAATTTTTGTATTTTTAGTAAAGACAGAGTTCCACCACGTTGGCTAGGCTGGTCTCGAACTCCTGACCTCAGGTGATCCATTCCCCTTGGCCTCCCAAAGTGCTGGGATTACAAGTGTGAGCCACCATGCACAGCCAAGATATCCCTTTAAAGGGAAAAATCAGGCTGCAGTGGGGGAGCAGCATTAGGAGAAATACCTAATGGAGATGACGTGTTGATGGGTGCAGCAAACCATCATGGCACATGTATACCTATGTAACATGTTCTACACATGTATCCCATAACTTAAAGTATAATAAAAATAAAAAAGGGAAAAATCAAAGCTTGCCATAGCTCTGCTCAAAACCTTTCAGTGGAGTCACAGACATCTAGAGTAAAACTGGTCTAAAGAGTCCTGCATATTCTGGCCTCTGTTGTCCTAGTTTACTTTTCCTCACCTGTCCTAACCACACAGATCTTCTCAAACATGCCAAGCACAGGACCTTTGTTCTCGTTGTTCATTCACACTGAATTACTCTTCCTCTGGATGTTCCTGCGTCCCACAACTTGCTCCTTCAGTTTATTCAGTTTTTGGAGCAGTGATTCCTAATTACTAGATCTGGTGGCCCCTTCTCTGTCCTTACACTTGACTGCTTTTTGGCATTTGACATTGTCAGTGTTCTTCTATAGCTTTCACTTTGGTTCATTATAAAAGTACAGATTTAATATCCCTTATTCTAAATGCTTAAGACCAAAAAATGTTTCAGATTTTGGAATGTTTATGTATATATGAGATATCTGGGGATGGGACCCAAGTTAAACATTAAATTTATTTATGTTTCATATTCACCTTATACGCATAGCCTAAAGGTAATCTTATACAGTATTTTAAATAGGTTTCACTTAGCTATACATTTAATTTTTTATTTTTGAGACCAGGTTTTCCTCTGTCACCCAGGCTGGAGTGCAGTGTTGTGACACTGCTCAGTACCACCTCAAACTCCTGGGGTCAAAAGATTCTCCCACCTCAGCCCTCCATGTAGCTGGTACCACAGGTATATACCACCATGTCTGGCTAATTTTTAAATTTTTTGTAGAAATGATATTTTACCATCTTTCCCAGGCTCGTCTCGAACACCTGGACTCAAGCAATCCTCCTGCCTTTGCCCCTCAAAGTTGCTGGGATTACAGTTGTGAGCCACCACACCCAGGCTATTTTACTTATTTATTTTTGATACAAGGTCTTGTTCTGTTGCCCAGGCTGGAGCGCAGTGGCTCTATCATAGCCCACTGCAACCTCTAACTCTGGGCTCAAGCGATCTCCCACCTTAGCCTCCGAAAATGCTGGATTACAAGCACAAGCCACCACATTTTTTTGTAGAGACAAGGTCAAACTTTGTTGCCCAAGGTGGTCTTGAACTCCTGGGTTCCCAAAGTGTCGGGATTACAGGTATGAGTCACCACACCCAGCCAAAAGGTGATTTAATATCGAAATGAAATTGCCTCAAGCTAGTAGTTCCTGCAATGTCTGACAGATGTCAAATGTCACTGTGTTCCCTGAAGTTTAAAATATCCCCTGGTGTCCTGGTGAGTTTATTGCAGTGTTCTGGGCTTGTTTTGAAACCTGGCATATTAGTAAGTAAGCCCTCACTTACTGCCTTATAACTATTCTAGTAATTATTAGTATTGTGTTATAGTGATTAATAATGTTGATTAAATTTTCTGATTCCAGATTTGACAATTATTTGGTTACTTTTATTTATGTTTCTGGTATGTTTTATTAATGAAGAGTTTATATTAAAGTATAATGTGTTCAAATAGCCCAATCTGTTGATTAAAACCACTGAGTTTGAAATATTGAGTGTTTTATATTTGTTATATTTTCTGTTTTAGTACCTTACCAGTAACAAATGTGGCAAATATGTGGACATTGGAGTCTTAGCATCTGATTTACAAAGAATGTACAGGTAAAGAAATGTAGTTTTCAGATCCTTGGATATTTCTTTCCTCTTTACCATTTTAAAAGTTTATATCCTGCTTAAATTTCCAATTGATATCAATAGCTGCTGGCATTAGTTCACCAATCCATAATCTTGGAACTCAATTTGGTTATGCAAACATTTATCAAGTACCTGTTATGTGCAGTAAGATGATTTTTGTATTATGGGGAATAGTAACTGCTTATCTTTCAGTACCTCATAGCCAGGTCAAGAGATAGAGATGTTATTATATCACTTTCTTTCCTGCTTCATTAGAAAATTAAAACTGAGCCAGGTATAATGGCTCATGCCTATAATCTCAGCACTTTGGGAGGATGAGGTAGGAGGATGGCCTAAGCCCAGGAGTTTGAGACCAGCCTGGGCAACATGGTGAAATCCCATCTCTACAAAAAATATACAAAAATTTGCCAGGCTTGGAGGTGTGCACCTGTGGTCCCACCTACTTGGAAGGCGGAGGTGGGAGGATCACTTGAGCCAGGAGTTCAAGGCTGTAGTGAGCTGTGGTCATGCCACTGTACTCTAACCTCAGAGACAGAGCGAGATACTGTCTCAAAAAAAGAAAGAAAGAAAATTAAAACCATCACCAACAGGTATGATCTCCTGACTTTCCCAACTCTTTTTTTTTAATATAATTTTTATTTTCATTTTTTGTGGAGACAGGACCTTTCTGTATTTGTCTAGGTTCGTCTTGACCACCTGACCTCAAGTGATCCTTAAACCTTGGCCTCTCTGAGTGCTAAGATTATAGGCATGAGCCACCATGCCCAGCTAGCTTCTTGAGTCTTTTTTTTTTAGACAGAGTCTTGCTCTGTCACCCAGACTGTAGTGTCGTAACCCGATCTCTGCTCACTGCAACCTCTGCCTCCTGGGTTCAAGCAATTCTCCTGCCTCAGCCTCCTGAGTAGCTGGGATTACAGGCGTGCGCTAACCATGCCTGACTAATTTTTGTATTTTTAATAGAGACGGGGTTTTGCCATGTTGACCAGGCTGGTCTCGAACTCTTGACCTCAGGTGATCCATCCACCCCAGCCTCCCAAAGTGCTAGGATTACAGGTGTGAGCCACCTCACCCAGTCAAGAATACCTTAATTATTTCTAAAGACCCTATCTCCAAATGCAGTCACATTCTGAGGTACTGGGGGTTAGGACATCATCATAAGAATTTAAGGGAAACATAGTTCAACCTATTGGACTCTGTCCTGTGACTCCCGAAATTCGTGTCGTTCTCATGTGCAGATACATTCATTTTATTCCACAAGCCCCAAAAGTCTTAACTCATTTTAGCATCAACTCTTAAGTCCAAACTCTCATCTAAATATCATCTAAGTCAGGCCAGATGCAAGGACTCACACCTATAATCTCAGCATTTTTAGAGGCCAATGGCTTAAGGCCATAGAGTTCAAAACCAGCCTGGGCAACATAGTGAGACCTCATCTCTACAAAATAAAAATAGAAATAATTAGCTGGGTATGGTGGCATCAACCTTACTACTCAAGAGGCTGAGGTGGGAGGATCGCTTGAGCTCAGGAGTTCAAGGTTGCAGTGAGCTATGATTGCATCAATGCACTCCAGCTGCGTACCAGAGCAAGACCCTGTCTCTAAAATAAATTAAAAAAAATATATCATCTAAATTGATCGGTAGTGGCTTAGATTCAAGGTTTGATTTATCCTAGGGCAAAATTGTTCTTTGTCTATTAACCTGTGAAACCAGACAAGTTATTTGCTTCCAAAATACAGGCATGTGCTGCATAACAATGTTTCAGTGAGTGATGGACCTCATGTATGATGGTGATCCCATATGATTATTACATCATATTTGTGCTGTACCTTTTTTGTGTTTAGTTGTGTTTAAATACATAATACCATTGTGTTACAGTTTCCTATGGTATTTAGTACAGTCATACACCGTATAGGTTTGTAGGCACAATAGGCTATACCGTGAAGTCTAGGTGTATAATAGGCTATACCATCTAGGTTTGTGTAGGTACACTCTTACTTATTTTTGTTTTCACACAATGAAAATGCTTAATGATATGCATCTCAGAATGTTTCTCCATTGTTTAGTGATGCACGATTGTACAATGGCGGGACAGGCATAGGCATAGGTTAGACATTCCTATTCTAGAAGAGAACAATTGGAAAAAAAGAAAGGGTCATGGGTCCCAAGCAAGTCCAAAACCAAGCAGGACAAATTTCATTAGATTTTCAGGCTTTAGAATGATCTTCTTTGGCCTGATGCTCTGCCCTGTGGGCGCAGTAGGATGGTGATCCTGCCCTGTGGTACCTAGGAGGAGACAGCCCCACCTGCTGGACCTGTGCCCTCTGGGTCTGTGTTGACAGTGGCAGCCCTGCATTCTTTTGAGCCTCCTTAAGGGTCATTCTTCCCTTTTCTTGAAGGATAACTTGTCTTCACAGTTAAGTAGTTTTATTCCCCTGTCTTATAGAATCTTGGAAGTCCAGCAGCCTTCCTTAATTTTGTCCCCATCTCTGTCCCTTCAGTCCAAGCTGGCAGTGTTTCTGTTGCTTTAACCCATCCCTATTCCTGGCTTCTGCCGAGATGGCTGACTGGATCCATAAGTCATATGCTGGTAATCCCTTTAGCAAATCGTAGTCCCTCCATACCCGTGATGTTCTCTCTAGATTATGCTTTTTCATTTTTTACAATATGGATAGACTGAGAATTTTCCAATCTTGAGGTTCTGGTTTCCTTTTTGTTTAACAATTCCTTCTTTATCTCTCTCTATACCATAAAACTTCACTATAAGCAGCAAGGAGAAATCAGGCCACACCTCAACACTTTGCTTGAAAATCGGAGTGAAATATCCACATTCATCACTTACAAGTTCTACTTTTAAAAACAGTAAAACACAAGTCCTTGGCCACTTCATAACGTGGACTGCCTTTCCTCCAGTTTCCAAAAACATGCTTCTCATTGCTGTCTGAGAGCTCACCAGAAGCATCTTTAACATTCATATTTCTACTAGTATTCTCTCTGTCTGTGTATATAACTATAGAAACTTCCTCTATAGCTCTTCTCTTATCTTTCTGAGCCCTCACCAGAATTGCCTTCAGGGTCCATATTTCTTTTTTTTTTTTTTTTTGAGACAGAGTTTCACTCTTGTTACCCAGGCTGGAGTGCAATGGTGCGATCTCGGCACACCGCAACCTCCGCCTCCTGGGTTCAGGCAATTTTCCTGCCTCA